GACATAACTTGAGAGAAGCATTAACTTCTTTAGAGTTTACTTTTGGAATGCAAAGCATTTCTCTGTATCAGAAACTTTTAAATGAGGGGAAAACATAATCAGTTGCTTGAGCAGCAATCGTTGGATTTACGTTGCTGAACTGACCTTTTAAAAGTAAATGATAAGAACTGTTTTCAATCATGTAAGTGTTTTTTAGCCAGTTCAGTCTTTCTGAGAAAAACCAAGATGATCTACTGTGAATGATTAGGAAGGCATTGTGTGCTTTCTTCATTTTCTGTCTCTCTGTATATAGAGGTCATTAAATATGAAATGTTCGATTTCAAATCAAAAGTGTAGTTTATTGTATATCAAACAAGAGGCAGTACAATTAATCAAAGTGTGCACCCAAACTATCAACACAGTTTTGCCCTCTTAATGGTAGCTTGCTTATGCCAGCAGCGAAGAAGCCTGGAGAGTGAGTAGCCATGAAATTTTGAAACGTGTTTCCCACAGCTTGTTGAGAATTGGATATTTTTCCTTGCAAGAAGAGGTCCAAAGCCTGGAGGAAGTGGTAGTCAGTTGGTGAAAGGTCTGGTGAATACGGTAGATGACAGAGAGTTTCCAAGTCCAGCCTCTGTAGTTAGAGCAGAGTTGTCTGTGCAACATGTGGTCGACCGTTGTCTTGGAAGAGGATTGGCCTGTCTCTATTGGCCAATCTCTGCTGCTTAATCACAAGCATCCTCATCATTTCGTCCAATTGGTTGCAGTAGACACCTGCTGTAATGGACTGACCAGGTTTCATTAAGCTGTAGTGGATAATACCAAGGCTGAACCACCAAACAGACACCATTAGCTTTTTTTGATGAATATTCAGTTTTGGACTGTGTTTTGGCACTTCATCTTTATCCACCATTGTGCCGAATGCTTGTGATTGTTGAATCCATTTTTCATCGCATGTAACAATATGTTGTAGAAATGGTTTGCCTTTATGTTGTGACAGCAGAGAAAGGCAAGCTTCGAGAAGATTTCTCTTCTGATGCTCGTTTAATTCATGCAGTGGCCATCTGTCCAACTTCTTTACCTTGATAATTTGTTTCAAATGGTCCAATATTGTTGGAATAGTAACGTCAAACCTTGCTGCTAATTCACACGTAGGTTGAGATGGATTCACTTCCACTACAGCTTTCAGCTCATCATTGTCTACCTGGGTCTCAGGTCACCCACGTGGCTCATTTTCAAGATTAAAAACACCAGAACAGAACTTCTCAAACCATCGACGAACTGTGCATTCATTAGCCACATCCCTCCCAAACATTTTGTTGATATTTCAAGCTGTCTGAGCTGCATTGGTTCCACAATGGAACTCATATTCAGAAATAATACAAATTTTTGACTTATCCATGGTTTCACAAAAATTGTTCTAAAAAAAACGTGAAAGATACTCACAAGCCAAACTGTGTATTTGAAAGACTGAGGATGTACCTTCACAGCAGAAATAAAACAAGAAGTGTCAAAGTGAAATGTCAGAGAGATCAACTTTCAAACTTAGCACTTAAGGACATTGGACATTTCATACTTAATTACCTGTATTTATGTACACACACTCTGTAGACATATCTGTATGAATGCATCTTCACACGTAGACTAATTAATGTGCACTGTGTGTCTTCGAAGGGCATGTAGAGATTTGATAATACAGAAATTATACTTTCTTCGCTTAACCATAATCCTTGGAGTAACACTTCTGCTGTCCTTTAGACCCACCTTGCCACACGGAGCTCAGCAGCATCCGGAGGCGGCAGGGCGAGAGGAAGCTCACGGGTGAGTAATAGATCACGGCTCCGAAGCCTTCGCCGTGTACACAGACAGCCCCAGGGACACAGACACATAAAATCAATATTAATCCAACAAAGACAGACTGCACTAAATTCCAGCAGCAAAATTTATGAACTTTTTGAATGCCATTAAACTTACTTTTATTACCTTACCTATTGAAAGACATTATGTCTACTTTATTACCCTAATATAATGCTCGTTTTGAAAGTTATTAAGTAAAAAGGAGAAGTGAAAACATCAGCAGAAAATTCAATTCCAATTCTATGGTTAACAATCTAAAAATTGATGGCAAATATATGTCTGTGTGCGTATATATAAAAAATATATAAAAATATACATGTCGTTTAAGGCAAGTACTTATATAAATTGGGTAAAAAATGTTATGAGTACCTCAGGGAAATTTGAACAGACTTTTTAGTGTTTTTCATGAGTATTTTTCACTACCTTTCTCTTAGTAAGTAAATTGTTTGAATAGGTAGGTAGATAGAGATATTTCAAATTTCACTGAAACCTTGAAATATTTAAACGTTTGCCTATCAACAGATTATTAAACTATTACATAAAATTGTTTATTCTTATAAACATACAATTTTTAAACTTCTTTTAGAATATTTTTAAATGTGTAAAAACTATTACAAAGATAGTAATACATAGTTTCCATACACTCTTCACCCTGCTTCCCCTACAGACAGCATTGTGCACGTACCAAATGCTTTAGACTGTATTTGAATGTCACCGGTTTGCATACTGGTGTTCTATGTTAGGACCCAAAGCAGGACAGCACACACGCAATGTTTCCCTTCATGTATGTTAACACACTTGTGCATTTAGTGGCAGGTAACTCTATAATGTCTCTGGCTCTGATCAGTCTGTATTGTATTTTGATATATTTTCTTTGAAATTAGAATATAGTATGTTTACATGAGAAGATTTTTCATATTATTTGAGAATCCTTAGTTCAGTGACCATCGTACAAAATAAAAAGCATAATCATTTGTAAGAAGACATTCTTAGGTATGAAAAATTACTGATGACAAATGCTACGATGTGTCATATTTGTTTTAACTCTGTTACAAGATGCAGGAGCTATCACAGCTGACAAGTAGAAACAATACACTCTTATATAAGTTTGACTCAGCAAATCAAACTTTAGCCATGTAAAATGGGAAAAGCCATTTGAATGCAACTGAAAAAATATTTTACACTTGATCAAAGTCTATTAGTAACAAAAATCTACTAGAATGCGGGCTTCGATTATTTGAAACTACTGAAAACAAAAACATGCTCAGCACCCATTAGGAAGAAGTCACTTTCATTCTTCTTTCCTAATATAAATGAAAATCATTAGAGAGTATGAAATGCCTCAATATTTCTTCTAATTTGGGTGGGATAATGGTATGCGTCTGAAAGTTGGTCAGTAGTTACGTAGAAGTAGGGTGCCACATGGTCCATTTGCAAATTAAGTCTTGGTTGATGTCTGCAGCTCTAGAATAATTTTTCATAGTGTTCTCTTTTATTTCAAAGTACGCTGACATAAAGGAGAAATTATGTGGTCACACTAACCACACATCATAATATTTTTATGTCAAATAAGTCAAATCACGGCAGTTTTTAAAGATGCAGATGTAGCAAAGTTGGATTTTTTCCCTGTGTTTGCTGGCCTTGGATCCACAGAGCTATTCTCAAGTTGTCGATATTGGCGATAGTCTGATAGTCCGTCTACTTCACTGCAAGAGCAGCTGTTCAAATTTTTCAAAGGAATGATAATTTGAAAACTAAATTAATCATCTCTATGTAAAAACTTTAAACTTTTTGAGAGAGCAAAATTATGACCTCATATGGTCGCAAGGCTGCATGAGTTTCATGCTTTATCCATTTGTTCATTTACTTTATTTCACAAAGTAACTATAATGCTTCTGGTCACAGGAAAAAAAAAAAAAAGGTCAAAAAAGCAAACAAAATCTGTTCTCCCAGAGCTCACATTCTCGTGTCGGAGCGCTCACTGAAGGGTGTGACTTCACTTTTAAATTACTAATGAGGCATTTTCCATGGCGACGCGCCCCACACGGTGTTCGTCGTTACAGACATGCAAGTGTGTGTCTGTCTCTCCCAGTGTCCCCCTGGGTTTAAGAGCTGCTGTTTATACAACAAAAATAAAGAGAGCGCGAATACTCCCAAACGTCGATGACGTCACGGCGCTGTGTGAAAGCGCGCGACGCACGCACGCACAGGCGCGCGCGTGACGAGAGGTCACGGGGGCTCAGCGCGAGAGCAGGCTTGCGTGTTGGGCGTCGCCTCAAGTCCCGGCCTGAGGGACGGGAGAAGGAGAGGCCTCGAGCGGGGCGACGCGGGAGGGAGCAGCAGCGGATCTGGGGGAGACGGACAGACTGACGTGGGAGGGGCCGGGGCACCAGAAGGAGAATCTGGGGAGGGAGGCGGAAAGCCGGCGGCGACACGCCGGCCACGACCCTGCCGAGCCACGCGCGTGGTTCAATGGCGCGCGGCCTCCGTCAGAGGTCAGCCCACCTCGTGCCTCCATGCGCCGCCTTCCCCAGAGTGACACACGGTGGCACGGCGACCTGCTTAACGACAGAGGGAGACCCGGGGAGCGGAAGCCGCTTGCTTCCGCGGTGGCCAGCTCGGCGACAACGGGGACCCGGCCCGCTTGCTCCTGCGCGTCGCCGGCGCCGGGCCCGGGCAGCGCGGACGGCCGCGTGTCGCGAGCCCCCTAATGGCGCGACGGACGCTCGAGCGCGACTCACCGTGTGTCTGTCTGTGTCTGTGTGTCCCGCAGGGCAGCACGTCCCGCGGTGTGACGAGGACGGCTACTACAAGCCCACGCAGTGCCACGGCGGGGCCGGGCCGTGCTGGTGCGTGGACAGGTTCGGGAACGAGGTCGCGGGGTCCCGGAGGGACGGAGCCGCCGACTGCGGTAAGAGCGAGCCCCTCGGCGGTCCCCGGGCTCGGGGCGGAGCAACGCAGGGCGCCACCCGCTGCCCCGGGGTCCGGTGACACCTGGTGACACCCGCCCGCGCGGGGCCCGCGGCCCAGAGCAGGCAGGGCGCCGTGCGGACAAGTTAGGCCGCGTAGAGGCGGTCGGTGGCGTTGCGCGACTGTGCGTCAGGGCGGTGGCTGAAAGCGGGCGTCTGTCCTGCTGCACGTCCGGAAAGCTGTGGGATGCTCTTCCTCTCAGGAAAGGGGGACTTCCCGTTCCTCCCGCTCCGAGGCACTGACCCCAGCGCGCAGCCTGTCCCCGGGTGGCGCTGCTGGGTCTGCGCAGCCCTGCAGAGGGTGACAGGGGACATGAAGTTGCACCGGCTAGAGAAAAACGGAACTTGTTAAAGTTCCATAAATGACAGCCGTATGAGCACGTTTCCTTATGTTTGGGTGAGAAAAACGTGGTTTAATGGTTTAAAGGATGATTATAACTGATATGCGAATTTTTTACTATGAACATGAATTTTGTCTATAAACCTAAACAATAATGTCACAAGTTGAGCATCACATACATGCATTTTAAAGTTTTAAAAGTGGTATCTTTTGTACTTCATAAGCTATTTTTCCAGAATGCAAGCTTCAAATCAGTGTTTTTGTCTGTGCTGTGGAGAGTTTTCACAACAAAAGCCACTGAGCTTTACACAGACCCCCGACACACACACCGGGAATTAGTGGGTTGGATTTCAACTAATACAAAAAATGATCACAAGTGAAAATAAAGTACTGAGTCTTGCATTTTAGAAAATGTTTAGATACCTCCTTCATGAAATTTTTAGGATGATAGACTAAAATTATTTAGGAAAAGAGAAATGGTACAGAATAAAAAGTGATCTCATTTAATGCTTAAATTCCTGCTCTGCTTCATTTACTCCATAACATTTTTAATGGCCTGGTTTGGGTTTTCTGACCCATGGTCTTAAGCAGGAAGACGGAGTGAGCATGTCTTTGTAGTCTGCAGTGTAAATGTAGTTTAAACATGTCTTTGTAGTATGTAGTTGCTTTGCTAATTGCTTCAGTTATCAGTGATGTCAGTGATGGATAAAGAATTTTATTTTTTATGTTGTAAATGAAAATTACATGGAAATAAGTTCAATAAGTGAACCATAAATTATTTTGGAAACATGAACTTCTAAGTTTTCTTAGCGTGTTGCAATTAAGAAAATGTATCAACTTGGAGAATAGAAACACCATTTCTTAAGGTAAGATGGGAATTTCACTGTGCAGTATTGTGAGATTAGCTAATTTATAAACATTCAATTACATTAATAGGATGTATTATAACTACCAAAGAGTTATGGACAAAGATATCAGAATAGAAAATAAACACCAACTAGCATCTGAGGAGATGAAAGTCAACATGTGCTGAGATATATGTGCATTGTTGCCTCAGTGAATACAAATAGCTATTTAAAATTTTAAAAATATTTTTTAAAATGTTGAGTCCCTAGATCAAATCTATAGTTTCAGCTGTAGAGGGTCTTCCTCATCAATTAAAGATCTTTGGTCTAAAGGTAGAGACATGCTTCCTGACATAGACGGCATT